GCATCAGAGGATGTTTTTCATGGTTTTAGCATCTTTTCTTGGCTGGGCTTGAGAAAATAAGTACACAAAACTGCTTCAATTGTCAAAAATGACTTATTAAGGCCAAAAAACTTCAATAGATGTTTTTAAAATTTGGAAAAATTGGGTCATTCATTCTCTGGTACCTATTATAAGATTGTTTTTCCAATCATGGCCTATGTGAATTAGCTATTTTAGGAGGTAATCCTCCAATAAAAGCAGCTAAATATGAATTATTTTGGTCCCATCCAGCCTATGTTAGAAGCCTGATAAAGGTTTGACACTTTTTCCCCCTCTTTGCTTTACAGAAAGTTATTTACTCTGTTATTCAGCCGTAACTTCAAAGGTTTTTTTTTTTACACAAAACCCCTTTTGTACCTGTGGACCTTTGAATGGTTTAAAGAGACAAGAGACCTGTTTAAAAAGCATCCCAGAACCATCCCAGAAAAATGGTTCTTATTTAAAAAATAAACATCTGAGTGGGTCTCATGATATAAATCTCCAGAAAAGATTTAAAAAAAAAACAGATCCTGAAATGGCTCAATCTGCTGTTTTTTTTTGTTTTTTTTTACAGGAAATGTACAAATCTGTAATTCAATTTAAAGACTGTTATGATAAATAATGGTGGATGGTTTTGTTGATGTCTTGATATAATGTCAATATAAAAAAAGTGCAATAATGGAGTTATGGCGCAAAATCATCTACAATCACCTTTGTATTTGACTTTTATTTGTAATAAACAAACAAAGAAACGCACAAGGCTTTTGTCATGACAAAGTATCCTGTTTTATTTTCCACCACCCAACTTTTTGTGTGTCCGTCTGGGTGTGTCTGTGTAACCCGAGAGCCACGTGACCAATAGGAGCACGCGCATTGTGCACGTTCAGAGCTCTTCCGCAAACTTTAAGAGGTGAGTTTGTTCCTGATAAACAACATAAAAAATGACATTTGCTTGTAAAAACATTTTAAGTTAAACAAGCTTCTGAGCTTATTCCTCTTTAGGAAATAGAGATTATAGTAAAACAAAACTCCGTTTTGTTCCCTGATTACGTCATCGAGTTTCTTTTTTGGGTCGTTTTGACGCATCTGATCCTTGTTTTTTTTAAAAAGGCGAATAGCGCAAATTTGGGAACATTTGCGCAAAAACGGCTTAATTTGTGTAAACTTCTTGATATCTGGGACGTGTGTTGACGTTTAAAGTCGTGACTTTTTTACACTTTTCTGGGGCGTTGGTTGCCGGCTTTTTCTGTCCAGGGGACCGCGGTGCGTTTTTTTCCATTTTCCAGGAAGTGCGCGCAACTTTGCGCAGTTTTCTAACCACCGAAACGATACTGTGGGGGTTTTACCTCGTTTGCTTTGGGGTTTTATATGTCTGTCTACTGCCAAATTAGCCAATTAGAGCCTGGATCGATGGTTTTTTCCATTAGGAGGACGCATTAACTCTCAGTGGTCAGAGTCTGGTCGTGTTTTTGCCCAGTGGCTCTCAGAAGTGAAACCCGAATAGTTCCCAGCTCCTTTATGGTCCCACAGCTTCTAACTCACGTGCAAAACCCATTAATCCGCTTTTATCAGAGTTCAAAGAGACATTTGTTCAAGTGGCAAACAGCAGTGAAGCTCCAAAAGAAAAATTTGTATTATTAAAAGCTGTTTTTGTCCTTTTAGAATAGTTTTTTAATCCCCCAAAAAGAAGGATTCCCAACCAAAGGGTGGTTCAAAAGCTGAAAACGGACATTTTTTTAAGTAGCAAACAAAAAGAATAAATATTTATTATTAAAAGCTGTTTTGTCCTTTTAAATTTAGGTTTTTATTCCCCCAGACAGAAAATTTCCCAACCAAAGGCTGGTTAAAAAGCTGAAAACGGCCATTTAGTGAAGTAGAAAACAGCAGCGAAGCTCCAAAAGATAAAAATATGTATTATTAAAAGTTGTTTTTGTCCTTTTAGAATAGTTTTTTATTCCCCAAGAAAGAAATATTCCCGACCAAAGGGTGATTCAAAAGCTGAAAACGGCCATTTATTGAAGTAGCAAACAGCAGCGAAGCTCCAAAAGATAAAAGTTCATTATTAAAAGCTGTTTTTGTTTTTGAGAGAGAAAAACTTCATATTTGAGGAGAATCCATGAGATTCAGAGCTGTCCAGTGTGTAGAAACAGTGTCTGCTTAGAGCAATAATCCTTTAGTGATGCTCCAGTCTCATGATTTCTAAGAGTTCAGTTTCTCCATAAATCTGATGGAGTATTCATGAAATCCCAAACATTTTTATCTGGATTTCTTAATTTTTCTTCATAAATTGCTGTTTTTAAGACCATTTCCTCCTCTTTCAGTCTTCTAGACTGATTTAAATCAGAGTTTTACAAAAAAAATGTTGGGGAGTAAAGTCTCACAGGCATATCGGTCCAAAATAATAGAGAAAAACTTCATATTTGAGGATAATCCATGAAATTCAGAGCTATCCAAAGTGTTCAAACAGTGGCTGGTTAAAGTAATTATCTTTTAATTCAGTTTTTTAATAAATCTGATGGAGCATTCATGAAAGACAGACAAATATAATCTGGATTTCTTAATTTTTCTTCATAAATTGCTGTTTTTAAAGATAATTTTTCTCCTCTTTCAGTCTTAAAAATGAATTAAATGGAGGTTTAAATTAGAGTTTTGTGTTGCTTCTAAACCCTAAATATCTGAATATCTTCACCTGAGTAAATATTTTAATATTTTTTTGAGCACGAAAAATTTCATCTGGATTTCTTCATTTTTCTTCATTCAATATTATTATTATTATTATATTAGTATTTGTGAGCAAGAAAAGTGAAGCTCTGGTATTATTACTGGAGGGAAACGAGCTGAGGTCACCAGTGGAAAAAACAGGAATCACGTTTTCCAGCGCGACTAAATCCGATTAGATTTAGATACGGCTTCTAAAAGCTCCACATCCTGGAGGAATGTCGGATGTTATCTGGTCTTTTAAGGGAATCGTGTAGATACGATCAAAAGTTCATGTTTTTTGCAACCCCCCATTACAAGTTATAATGAATTGGTTCCGATCTATTTATTCTCCAAGTCTGACTAATCTTTTATTTTGTCCATCCATCCATCCATCCATCCATTATCTTTTTGAACAATCTCTGTCTGCAGCCTGTAGGAGCCTCGGTTGGATATCCGACTCCTCCCACATCCAAGTCGGCCATTTTGATTAGGTCATGTGACTAGCAGCTTTCTGAGGTGGAAACAAAACTTTACTGTCTCTACGAAATCAGAAGATAAACGATGTCCTAACCCTAACCCTAGACCTGACCCTAACCCTAACCCTGACCCTAACCCTAATCCTAACCCTGACCCTAACCCTGACCCTAACCCTAGCCCTAACCCTGACCCTAACCCTAACCCTGACCCTAACCCTGACCCTAACCCTAACCCTGACCCTAACCCTAGCCCTGACCCTAACCCTGACCCTAACCCTGACCCTAACCCTAGCCCTGACCCTAACCCTAGCCCT